GTCCTCCTTTTCACACCAGAGTCCCCATTGTACATCAGAATTCCCCCTTTCACATCAGAATTCCCCCTTTCACATCTGAATCCCCCTTTCACATCAGAGTCCCCCTTTTACATCAGAATTCAATATTTCCCATTAGAGTCCACCATTTCACATCTGAGTCCCCCTTTTACATCAGAATCCCCCCTTTCACACCTAATTCCCTCATTTTACATCTCAGTCCCCCTTTTCACACCAGAATTCCCATTTCACATCAGAATCCATACATCAGGAGCCTGTGTGCGCCATGAAAAGGAATGACACTGAAAATTTCAAGGCACCCTGCTTGAGAAAGGTTGATGTAGAGAATCAACATTTCAGGATCGTGCAGGGACCCTTCATCAGGTAGGTATGTGATACATTTACTGGCATATAAACAGATCATCCACCAATAAGCAAACACTTTTTCCAATTGGTGGATGATCACTTTATGGGTGTAAAAAACCCTCTTCCTTCAGATCTGTACAGCATATAGTTATTTTACAGATCTGAATACAGCAGTATTACAGGCTTAACTGTGTGAAAGAAAAGTAGAGAATTCTGTGTGTGTCATTTACATGAATACGCACATAAACGCATGCACATGTATACATACTAGGAATGAAAAGTGAGCTGCAGGAATAGAAGAAGAATTTTATGGATGTGAACATTTCAGCCCTTAAGAAATGTACTGATCAAATGCACGTGTTCTTTCCGAAAAAAGGTCTTGCATAAATGATTAGTAAAATGCTTGCGTTTAGACGTCTGAACACAAATGTGTTTGAAAGCATAACATTCTCATTGGATTCCTCCTGCTCTGCTGTCAATGTATTCTTTCCATGGTATACATCTGCTGCCAGTATATTGATTTTCGCTGTGACACGTGATGTTTGGATGCAGGATACCAGTACATTCAGTCATGGCCAAAAATATTGGCACCCCTGCATTTCTGTCAGACAATGAACTACTTCACACAGAAAAGTGTTGCCATTACAAATGTTTAGGCATTCTCATGTTTATTTATTTTGTTTGTATTATTGTATATGACACAAAAAAGTGGAGGAAAAAAAAGCCAAATGTGAAAATTGTCCAGTCCAAATTGTCCAGTCCAAATTGTCCAGTCCAGAAATGGACTGGACAAAATTATTGGCACCCTTAATTAATATTTGGTAGCACAGCCCTTGGAAAAAATAACTGAAATCAATCGCTTCCTGTAACCATCAATGAGTTTCTTCCACCTCTCTACAGGAATTTTGGAGCATTCTTCTTTCACCAACTGCTCCAGGTCTCTCAGATTGGAAGGGTTCCTTTTTCCAACTGCTGTTTTGAGATCTCTCCACAGGAGCACTATGGGATTCAGATCTGGACTCATTACGGGCCAGTCCAGTACTCTCCAGTGCTTTGCCTCAAACCATTTCTGGGTGCTTTTTGGCTGGTGCTTTGGGTCATTGTCCTGCTGTACCCATGACTTCTGATGGAGACCCAACTTTCTGACACTGGGCCCTACATTGCACCCCAGAATTCTTGATAATCTTCAGATTTCATAATGCCATGCACACTGTCAAGACATCCAGTGCCTCAAGCAGCAAAGTAACCCGAGAACATCAGTGAACCTCCACCATGTTTGACTGTAGGGACTGTATTTTTTTCATTAAAGGCCTCATTTTTTGTTTCTGAAAACAGTAGAATGATGGGCTTTACCAAAAAGCTGTCATTTTGTTTCATCTGTCCACAGCACATTCTCCCAAAAGGATTTTGGCTTCCTCAGGTCAGTTTGGGCAACTCCAGTCTGGTTTTTTTATGTTTCTGTGTCAGCAGTGGGGTCCTCCTGGGTCTCCTACCATAGTGTCCCTTTTCATTCAGATGGTGACGTATCAGTGACGTGCCATACCCGCTGTGCTGGGTGAGGCATCCCCAGCCAGCAGAAGCTACGCCCCCGTCCAGCCGAAGCTCCGCCCCATCCAGCCAAATTCCCGCCCCCAGCTCGGTAACCAAGCTGTGTGGGGAGGAGGAAGGGAGGAGACAGGAAGGAGCCTCCCTGTCCCTCACTTGCTCGTCACTGGTGAGGCATGGAGATCGATGTCCTTACTGGGTTTTTTTGGACAGCTTGGACCAATGGTGTTTTGCCATTGGTCCAAGCCATCCACAGAGCTCATGCCTCTAACACAGAGTAGAGGCGGTGACAGCTCTTGCCTCTCCAAGTTAGGTTACACATGCAGTGGGGAAGCACGCTGCAGTGTAATCTACCTACCTGTCAAAAGCCGGATGCAGCGCTGCCTGTAATTAACAGGCAGCGATCTGTCCATGACAGGTTACACAGCAGGGAGGCTTTCCCTGCTGTGTAACCTGTAACAAGCCGCTCTGAATGGAGAAAAAGCTGTCAGCTTCAGACTTGAAGCTGACACCTTTTTTCTGCATAATACTAGGTGAGGCTATGCTTCACCTAAACGCACATTCCTGCTAGGGTTGCCACCAGTACGGGATTTTCCCTGACAGTACGGGTTTGGAATCTTGTTCCCGGGTGGGAGCCCACCTCCCACCCGGGCACAGTATTCAAAGCGGGCCTGTGGCTCCCTAAGAAAGCTGCATAGTCCATAACGCTGGGTGCTGGTATTGTGACGGCCGCAGTGCTCATCTGCTTGTCTCCTCCTCCTGTGGCATGATCTTCTCCCAGCTCTGACATCACATCCTGCAGGTACAGAGGGAGGCCAGAGACCGAGAGCACAGGCACAGGCAAGTTTTAAAGTTAGTGAATGCTGGGGGCTGGGAGAGACAGTGGGGGCTGGGAGAGATAGTGGGGACTGGGACAGACAGTGGGGACTGGGACAGACAGTGGGGACTGGGACAGACAGTGGGGACTGGGAAGAATTTGTATTGCATTTCCATTACATGTCACTGAACAGTGTTGAGTGACATGCAGTGTAAATGCAATACACATTTTACTTTATATATCCATGTACTTGTACTACCTGATAAACCATACAATGAGATTTAAATGAAAAGTCTTCTTGTATGATTTATTAAGTAGTACAGAAAAAATGTGCCAAACGTAACATAACTGCAGGAGTGTTACAATCAGCCAGCGAGCGCCGCAGATACATATATAATAAAAATTCGTACGAATTTCGATTCGTAACGAAACGAATCGCACATGTCTAATTCATATATCTGTGGTGCTCACTGGCTGATTGAGCCCACCTAAGAGTACACAGCCCACCTGAGGGCCACACAGCCCACCTGAGAGCCGCACAGCCCACCTGAGAGCCACATGGCCCACCTAGGAGTGCGCATAGCCACCTAAGAGCTGCATAGCCCACCCAAGACTGCACACAGCCCGCCTCAGAGCCGCATAGCCCACCCAAGAGTGCACACAGCTGACCTGAGAGCCGCATAGCGCACCTAAGAGTGCACACAGCCAACCTAAGAGCCGCAAAGCCCACCCAAGAATGCACACAGCTGACCTGAGAGCCACATAGCCCACCTAAGAGTGTGCACAGCCCACATGAGGGTTGCACTTGCACAGCCCACCTGAGAGCCTGAACAGGCCGCCTGAGAGCCTGCACAGGCCACCAAGCTACCTGGAGAAATCAGGGCGCCAACCCAGAACAACACAAAATATATAGCTTCATATTATTTTGTATTGCTGTATAATGTATTGCTGTAGTCCTTACTCCCTATCCTGGCTGCCTCTCCTCACTATTCTAACCTGCCCCAAACCCCCCCCCCCCAAAAAAAATTGCAGCGCTAGAGTGTTCGGGTTTCACTTGAAGAAAAGGTGGCAACCCTAGTCCCTGCGACGTATCGTGCGAGCTGACACAGTTGTACCCTGTGCCTGAAGGTCAGCTTGAATTTGTCTGGAAGTTGATGGAGGGTCTTTATCCAGCATTCCAACAATCCTTCCTTGCAATCTTCGATCAATTGTTCTCTTTCACCCATGTCCAGGGAGATCAGCTACAGTGCCATGGGCTGTAAACGTCTTGACAATGTTGTGCACAGTGGACACAGGAACATTAAGATCTCTGGAGATGGACTTGAAACCTTGAGATTGTCCATGCTTTTCCACAAAAACTTGGATTGCAATTATTTCTTGCAATTTGGAGAAAGTGCCAATAATTTTGTACAGTCCATTTTTGGAGTTTTACGTGGAATGTGTCAGGTCTGGCTTTTTTTTTTTTTTCTCAGCGTGTCATACCAATACACACAAAAGAAATAAACATGAGAATGTCTAAACATTTGTAATTGCAACAATTTTCTGTGCAAAGTGGTGCATTATCTGACAGAAATGTTGTACACACTTCTGTACGAATATGCACAGAACCACTCTAAACATAAAAAAACAAACGTGGTACGAAACTGTGCATCCCGCAAAATAGTACAAGTGCGATATTTTGGCGGATTCTGCGCGCTCGCGGCTATAGTATTAGCCACAAACGAGTGGAACTCGTGCTGTTGTAAAATCTTTAGTGTTTGTGTGGTGTGTGGTATTCCGCACTGAAAACCGCAGGGAAATGCAAACGCTATATATGAATGGAGCCTTACACTTGTACACGTTTACACGTGTGCGTTTGTATAATGTATGTACTGAATTTTTGTAATGGATTGGAACGCAGCATACCTTTACACACCGGTGTATACGTCCCCGTTGAAGAGAATACACCTGCGTTCCGAGCCAAAAACGAATCCGTCTAAATGGGTGTAAATGGAAGCACTTTATGGACCATTATGTGTGCTTTTTTTAACACAGGAGCCGGTGAAGATATTTTATTATGCCTGTGTGAATGAGTCCTACAAATGCCAATTTGGGGGAACTCTTTGGCCCTCAGTGGCATCTACCAGCTGAGAGCTCATTCCATTACAGGGAGGGCCCGGAGTGTATCAGTGCTGCCTCCAGGCACTCTTCTTCTCCTCACTGTGATCCCCCTATCCTCCTCCTTCTCCTAACACAATCATGAAGACACAGCGCGGGACTTCTTTCTGAGGCTGGTGCGGCGGAGTAATCCGAGTGTTCCTCGCATTCTGCGGAGGGATCCTTTCCGTGCTCTTCTGTCAGCCCGTCCCCATAGAGACCGCCCGGAGCCGCCGCCGTGCAGTTAAGTAGCGATTTTGTGTCTGTAGGAGCGGAGAGAGGCCCTTTGTTCGGCCTTGTGGGTGGAGGGCGAAGTAGGGCCTGGAGTCTGGGAGGGGTGCCTCTCTAGGCTCGCACCTTGGGGTTCGCTGGGGCGAGGAGGTAGGGGGGGGGGCTTGGGATCAATATTAACACTCGGTGTGTGGCATGTGTCATGATGTGTTTATGTAGAGGGGGCTGTGATGATTGTACTCTGAGACAGGGATCAGCCTCCTGCCCGGAAGAGCTTGCAATCAGATGTGTACACATGACAAGAGTCTGGCCACTTCCAGATTGGATTGTGACCCTGAACAGGCTGCCTGGCTAATAACCTGCCAGCTAATCTCGTACACATCTGAGATGGATTTCTGGACATGGGTTGTGTGTGTGTGTTATATAAGGTGTGCAGTTTGTGTTCTGAAGGCCAAGTGGGCTCACGCTAAGTAAATACTACTTTGCAAAGCTTAAAGTCCACTTGCTGCTAGCTGGATTTGCATACCCTGTGTTTGTATATGTGCTGTGCAGACCTAAAAGTCAAGGACATGGGATCCAGTTTGCTTTCTACGCCCTGTACACAAATGCATACAGAGGAAATACTCCGGTGCCTATCGTAGAAAAAGGCTCCATACTGATAATACACTACCTTCCGGTGTCTATCCCAGAAAAAGGCTCCATACTTATCATACACTACCTTCTGATGTCTATCCTAGAAAAAGGCTTCATACTGATCATACACTACCTTCCGGTGTCTATCCTAGAAAAAGGCTCCATACTGATAATACACGACCTTCCGGTGTCTATCCTAGAAAAAGGGTCCATACTGATAATACACTACCTTCCGGTGTCTATCCCAGAAAAAGGCTCCATACTGATCATACACTACCTTCCGATGTCTATCCTATAAAAAGGCTCCATACTGATCATACACTACCTTCCGGTGTCTATCCTAGAAAAAGGCTTCATACTGCTAATACACTACCTTCTGGTGTCTATCCGAGAAAAAGGCTCCATACTGATCATACACTTCCTTCTGGTGTCTATCCTAGAAAAAGGCTCTATACTGATAATACACTAACTTCCGGTGTCTATCCTAGAAAAAGGCTCTATACTGGTAATACACTACCTTCCGGTGTCTATCCTAGAAAAAGGCTCCATACTGATAATACACTACCTTCCGGTGTCTATCCTAGAAAAAGGCTCCATACTGATAATACACGACCTTCCGGTGTCTAGCCTAGAAAAGGGCTCAATACTGATAATGCACTTCCTTTCCGGTGTCTATCCTAGAAAAGGGCTCAATACTGATAATGCACTTCCTTTCCGGTGTCTATCCCAGAAAAAGGCTCCATACTGATAATACACTACCTGCCGGTGTCTATCCTAGAAAAAGGCTCCATACTGATCATACACTACCTTCTGGTGTCTATCCCAGAAAAAGGCTCTATACTGATCATACATTACCTTCTGGTGTCTATCCCAGAAAAAGGCTCCATACTGATACTACACTACCTTCCGGTGTCTATCCTACAAAAAGGCTCCATACTGATCATACACTACCGTCTGGTGTCTATCCCAGAAAAAGGCTCTATACTGATAATACATTACATTCTGGTGTCTATCCTAGAAAAAGGCTCCATACTGATAATACACTACCTTCTGGTGTCTATCCCAGAAAAAGGCTCTATACTGATCATACACTACCTTCTGGTGTCTATCCCAGAAAAAGGCTCTATACTGATCATACACTACCTTCTGGTGTCTATCCTAGAAAAAGGCTCCATACTGATCATACACTACCTTCTGGTGTCTATCCTAGAAAAAGGCTCCATATTGATCATACACTACCTTCTGGTGTCTATCCTACAAAAAGGCTCCATACTGATCATACACTACCTTCTGGTGTCTATCCTACAAAAAGGTTCCATACTGATCATACACTACCTAATGAGGACTGGTGACTGCTGTTCTCTCTCCTTGTGCAGGATGACTGGTCTTGTATCAGTTTTCTGCAGGCTGCCTGTAGTAGGTGGAGCTGCTGAGGCCCTCCCACCGCTCTGCAGTCTGCCAGGCTGTGTACACTGATGTCACTGCTATGTTTGCAATGTAATAACTAGGGTTGCAAGGTGCTTTGCTGCACACAAAGTGGATTTATATCTTTGTGGCTACTGAGTATATATTGAGATAAAAGCCTGTGTGCCTGGAATTCAGCTATAATGTGATTCTGTACGGAGTAATAGCACCTTTCAGAAACCCCGGGAGCTCTGTAACTGAAATGCAATCTCCTTCCTAACAGGGGAGATTTTTTTCTTTTTACAGTCACCAGTTAATACTGCGACTCTGAATTTCACATATGGACTAGGAAACGACATTGTAAGCTTTATTTGGACCTTGCATTACATAGTTGTCTGCTATCCATTCTATGCATGCATGTTGATTTAGATACCAGGGAAAGGAGGATTTAATAAGCCGGGCAAATCTTTAAAAATAGTGTTGCTCCTCCCTGTGTAGTAGTTGGTCCACCCAAAAGCGATACTAGAATTATAGCCGGCTTCTAATATCTTTAACACTACTGTTACTGCAGGGGTGGTCAAACTCCAGCCCTCTAGCTGGTGTGGAACTACAAGTCCCATGAGGCATTGCAAGACTGACATTTACAGGTATGACTCTCAGAGGCATGTTGAGATTTGTAGATGAAGCACAGCTGGATGGCCGGAGTTGCCCACCCCTACAACACTGCGTGCTTTGCTGTACGTGTGTTTTTGCATATGGCCCTCCATTTACTGTGGGTCCTCAATGCACCAGAAAAATGAGCAAGATGCTTTATTTGTTCCATTGCAACACTGCGCAGATGTTTTATCGACTAACTAATCGATTTTGAAAATAATCGTTAGCTGCAGCTCTAGAAGACATTACAATCACAATACAATTCAAGACAAGAAGGTAAGGAGGGCCCTGCCCCATAATGTTTACTAGTGAATGCACTGCATTGAGGGCCATGTGCCTTTTTTAGGATGTGTGTTGGGGGCGAGTTAGCAGCGACTGTTGGCACCCCCAGTACGCTTGCACAACATGTGTACGTAGTATGTGTCAGTGCATATTACAGTGTGTGCCTATAGGTGTGAACAGCCTAGGGAACTCCGGTATCAAGAAACTCCTGGCTCTGTTCCCTGCCACTTGCATTCCCTTTGATACAAACAGTAAAATCAGAGCGCACACTCTTGTAATTGTCATAGTGTTACATTAAGGGTCCTGTGATATGTGGGATCTTTAGAGGCCGCAATTCCAGAATCCCTGAGAGATGGAAGAAAACTCCCCTACATCTTTTTCACGTAATCAGTGCCAAGAGCAAAACTTTACAAGCAAAATCCAGTAACCCAGAACTGCCAATCACTATGCCAGACCAGTACAAATCAATTCTGATCCAGTAATATGCTTTATTGAATGGAAACCTTTCCGGAGGGAAATATGACGGCTGCCAGTGCAGGCCTCCTTCTGGAAATGCTAGTTGTCTGGCTGTTTTGGCCACACTTCACTAACCCAGAAGAAGACCTCAGATCGGTCAAGTCAGAACACTTTTCCGGGTAATTCAGAGGCTCAGCCAGACGACTAGCATTTGCAGAATGTGAAGTCAGTGTGGCAGCATCCATGTTTCTCTAGGAAAGGCATCTATTAAATCTTTTGGACTTCTCAAATAAAGTTCACTGGTGTGCAGTAAGCCATAGAAAGAATTCAGAAATTCCATTTTCAATAGTGTGCACAATGTATGCTGTTGACTTCTGATTGGTTAACATGAGCTATGGCAGAGTATTTCCTAATTAACCATGCTGTATAATAATAATTATTATACAGGATTTATATAGCGCCAACAGTTTGCTCAGCGCTTTACAATATAAGGAAGACATTATAATACAATACAAGACAAGATGGTAAGGAGGGCCCTGCCTGTGAGGGCTTACAATCTAAAAATGACATCCTTCACACTTTCTCCTGGTGTTACCTACCATTATGGTGACTCTCATAATGTATAATGAAAATTAATTCTGGGAAGCATGCACGCAGGTATTAATTTTTGTATTCATTTTTTTAATTCCTCTATTCACGCCAAACAGCATGGATGGATGAATCTTTGGCTGCAGCTATTGTATTCTGACACTTGGTGCCTGCCGCTGTCAGAATACATGAACAGTGACTGCAGATGATTTGTCGGCTGACAATTTTCGGCCTTGATCCACAGACTTTTATCGAGCTGGAAGGGACCTCCCCTGTAAGGATTTCCTCCAATTCCTCTGAAGTGGCTGACATTGTAACAGTGTATGGCCAGCTTTAGTATTTGACAGATTTTGAGGTGTATTATTAATATTATGCAGGATGCATAAAGTGCATGTATATATAACAGCTTGCACAGCGCTTTAGAATATAAGGAAGACATTACAATCACAATACAATTCAAGACAAGATGGTAAGGAGGGACCTGCCCGTGAGGGCTTACAATCTAAAAGGTGTTGATATCTTTTAATAAAGTAATAACTAATTTTGGTAGCTGAACGTTTCATACTCTTAATAGTAAAAATGAATCTTTATTATCTTGCATACTTGTTATCTGTAGATAATATTTCTAATCATTAACCCGACACACACACAATCATTTTGTCATGCATGTGACTATAAACTTGCAGTATACTGAAGACAGGCTGTAGACATTTACGAGGCCGAGCCTTGACATGCAATCCCTTTTTATTATGGGGATTTTATCATGTGACTGGGCATTTGAATGAATAGGGTACCCATTGTCTGTGAACAAAGCTGTCACTGTGCAGCAAACGCTGCTTTTTGATGAAGATAATTTCGTTATTTCTTTTAAGCCGAGAACAGAGGACTGGTTTTTACAAAGTCCTTATTAATTATTAATAACTGTCACAAAGCAAAACACATGTGATAAGTCTGCAGTTAAAACAGTAGTGACAAGAAATAGCTGAGCGTTACTG